GGTGGTCCCGCTGGGGTGCTTGGCCAGCCTAGGTGAGGGGCTGATGGCTGTTGGCAGGCTGGTCAAGCCCCCCCAGTGGGGACCCTCACCCCATGGAGGTTTGGCCAGCCTGGGTGAGGGACTGATGGCTGTTTTTAGGCTGGCTACACTCCCTTTAGGGTGGGAGGTCCCCACTTGGTTGCCTGGCCAGTCTGGTTGAGGGGCTGAGGGCCATTTTGAGGCTGACCAAACCCCTCCAGCAACGGAAACTCCCAGCCTCTCCTTTTTTTATTTTTATTTTTTATTCTGGGATTTATTTACCTTCTATAATTGAAAGTTTGTAGCCTAGGGTGGAGCTCAGAGCTGGCCAGGGTGGGGTGGGAAGCTTGGCTTCCTCCATCACTGGGGCAACCAAGCCTCCTGCTTGCTCCAGCTCCGTGGCTGTTGGCCGTCATCTTGGTTCAGTCAATTTGCATATAGTTGCTCTGATTGGCTGTTGGGCGTGGCTTAAGGTATACCGAAGGTAGAGTCAATTTGCATGTTTGCCTTTTATTATTGTAGATATTTTGTGTATAGTGTAATTGCTGCCCTTATAATGATAATGATGTAGATAACAAATTTTACTGTAACCATTTCTTTTTTAAAAATATTTTTATTGATTCAGAGAGGAAGGGAGAAAGAAACAGCAATGTTGAGAAAGAATCATTGACCAGCTGCTTCCTGCACGCTCCTTACTGGGGATCCAGCCTATAATTCTGGCATGTACCCTGACTGGGAATTGAACCATAGCCTCCAGGTTCATAGGTTGACACTCAACCACTGAGCAACACCAGCCAGGCTGCAAACATTTCTTGATCAATCTTACTTTCCCCACCAATCTGCAATAGCATCCTTACCATCTATTAAATGTCCATATGTAATGGATTTGTGGTTGGTTATTTTCTGTTTCTGTTTGTCTATATACTTTGACACTATCACATTGTCTTAAGTTCTAATTCTGTATCATAAGACTTGATAAATGGTAAAGCAAGTATGCATAATCTTTGTATTAACTATAATATTTTGTTATCTACCGGAGTTCTATGAGAATTCATGCTAAGTTCTATTTAAATTTCTCTTTATTTTCCCCAGGTGGAACTTGACATCACACACTGTGTATGTTCTCCCATAAGAAGGGAATGATTCTTTGTGTAAAGAACTTTCTATTTTCTCCAAGTTTATTTAGATTTGAAACCTTGAACTTTTTAAAGATCGTGTGACTTTTTTTTAACCAACTGCTGTGCTTTTCTTAGTTTAATGATGAAACTGATTGTTCATCCCTTAGGCTCTGACAGCATACAATGAAGTCTGACAACTTTCTCCCACTCCAGTTCTGAATAACATATAATTTCCTTGATATGACAGAAAATACCATTTTAGCATTCATGGCATGCCTTGGTGTTCATTTTTCATTTTCCTGTAAGTTAATGAGTTTAGCAAGGAGTGCCATCATAAAGTTGTCTTTTGCCAAAAGTCCTGCTGTAGCATATGGAGCTAGTGACAAGCTACACTATTAAGGAGATTTGTTTAAAACCAAACCTCTAAAGTGTGCATGGAAATACTAAATACATCCCTGTGTGTTTTGCAGACAATCCTGGCTTGCTCAGCCATGTCACAGTGGGTATTAGAGTTCTGGATGTCAATGACAATCCACCCGAACTTGCCAGGGAATATGATATTGTTGTCTGTGAAAATTCTAAGCCTGGCCAGGTAAGTTAATTGTTCTCTTCCTGTCATTTGAATGGAAAAAAAGAAAAAGCAGCTCTATTTCTATTATTCTTTTTTTTCATTTTATTGAATTTGTTCATTAATAAAACTATGCAGGTTTCAGGTGTAAAATTCTATAATGCATCATCTGTATATTGTATTGTGTGTTCAACACTCCAAGTCTCAAAATGCTATTTTTGTGCCCAGTGAAAATAATTTTACAAAGCTTTATTTTAAGTACCAGGTAGATTTTTTTTTTTTTGGAATCATAGGAAATAAAAATCCCAACTGTAATTCAAAAACTAACTCATCCAAGCATGCATTCATTATACCTATAAAATGATATTGAATGCTTTGTGTGTCGCCCCACAAAATTAGAAGGAAACCGTGAACTTTTCTGTGCTAATGAAGCTTTGAGACTAGATTGGAGGAATGCACTGGTTTATCCATTTTAGAGGGCCCAAGTGAGTGACACTGGTAACCATTGTGTGATACTGGTACAAAGAGATGATATGGTTTTAACAATGTGAAGAGTGTGTATGTATTAAGGAGGTGGGAGAGCAAAGGCAGGAGAGAAGAGCTGGAAAATAGGAAATGAGTCTGCGTGTATGTGGCACCTAGTTAAAAGAGATTGATAATTCTAAAGGAAGGCCAGGGTGGCTGATGCACATAAAACAAGTGGGGGACTTTGAAGGGGAAGTGCATTTATTTCTCTTCTCTTCTTGAGCGTCTCATCGTTTCCAGAAGTCAGATATGTGCTCAAAGCTTAGCTGGGTCTTTGCAAACCCAAAACCATAATCAAGGAATCAATCAGGGCTGTGCTTTTACCTGGAGCTTGGAGACCTCTTTCAAGCTTACAAGGTTGCTAGCTACATTGAGTCCCTTTCAGCTGCAGACCCGAGAACGTCAGGATTTTCCCAGTAAGGACACTTACTTCACCATACAAGTAAGGACTGCATTTCTGGTGAGACAATGCTAGCAAACAGCTTTATCTAGGGTAATGTAATCAGAAGATTGATGTATTGACGTTTTTGCCATATTGTATTGGTCAGCAGCAAGATAGTTTACACCACACTTAAAAGGAAGAGATTACATCGCCATGCATTGTGTAAGAATCACCTGAAAGTCTGTCTGTCATAGATGAATCTAGAGATGTAAAAATGGTATAGGTCCAATGGTATAAGTCCAATAGTTCTTTTTATTGTCATTGGTAAACCAGAATGAAGATATCATCCAAAATAACTTCAAATTGTTTAGAAGCTTCTGATAAAATTATAATCCTGAGAAATGTTGTCTTATCTATTCGTGTATGAGGAACAATCAATGGTGGCTTGCTAGAGTAATCATTGCTTATGTGTTTTAAGTACGCCCAGGAGGGGTATTTTATATATAAACTAGAGGCCTGGTGCACAAAAATTTGTGCACTCAGGGGGGAGGGGGGTTCCTCAGCCCGGCCTGTGCCCTCTAGCAGTCTGGGACCCCTCAGGAGATAACGACCTGCTGGCTTAGGCCTGCTCCCGGGTGGCAGAGGGCAGGCCCAATCCCTAGGTGCAGCCCCTGCTCGGGCTCAGAGCAGGGCCGATTGGGGAGTTGGGGCGCCGCCCCCTGTCATGCACAGAGCAGGGCGGATTGGGAGGTTGTGATGCCACCCTCAGT